CGTCCGCACACGCGTCTACTTCCTCTTCCAGCTGCCTGTTGAGCCGGGAAACCTCCTTCCTCAGCAGCTCCGGCTCCCGGGGGGCCTTCAGCTCCCGCAGCTGCGCCTGGAGCTCCCGCACATACTCGTCCCTGCTGGCGTCGTAGCGCTGCCACTTGGCGTTGAGGTCTTCCACCTGGGGAGGCGCGGCCGGGAAGCTCACGGCAAAGGCGGCGGAGCCCGAAGGCCGAACCTGGCGCCGCGCGCCGGCAGTACCTCGCCGACCTCTCCCCGCGCGTGGAGTGGACGCTGAGCCCACCACAGCAGCACCCGCAGCCTCGCTCTCGGACAGAAGTGGACTCCCTGCCGCCTTCCTGCCTTAGAGTCTCTGCCTCTCCTTGACTTCCTTTCCATCAGACGGGCACCGTGGGCGGCAGGACAGCCCGCCCAACTGCCACACAGCACCCCACGCGCACCGGTCCGCGTCCCGGCTGCTCCACTTCCAGCAGCCCCCTGCTCACAGGCCTGGGAAAGCAGAGCGACGTGGCGGCGTGCCCGGGCCCCAGCACCCAGGGGCGAGACCCAGAGGGCGTCCCAGGCCCCTGGCTTCAGCCTCAGTTGCTGTGGGCATCTGAGGCGTGAACCAGTGAGTGGAGGCGCTCGCTCTCGCTCTCGCTCTCTCTGTCTCTCCCTCTAATTCTGCCTTTCAGGACACGTCCTGCTCATCCCCCGGGCAGGAAGCTGGGCTGCTGGGGCCGTGTGCACCAAGCCACAGTGGCCAGCCGGTGGGGGAACGACTGGGCACGGGCTGGGGAAGAACCCTCATCGCACTCGGTCAGGGTGCGTGTTCTTCCAGGAGACGCAGACACTCACATGAGTCACTTTCTGTTTTAACAGTCGGTTCTCCTCCCGTAACTTCTCCATGGCGGCCTGAACAGAGCTGTCCGTGCCTGGACACGTGGGCTGCACAAAGCACAGAGGAGACCGTGTCACGGCACGTGGCCCACGCAGCAAGGGGCGGAGCCAGACCCGGGGTTGAGGCCATGATCACCACCGCGTCCCCCAGAGCTATGGGCCCGGCCGCCTCCTGGAGCCCACCACGCTGTCCTGTTCCCACTCAGGTCCGCTGCGGTCATCTAACTCGTGCTGGGAGACCGAGTCTCAGGAAACACCCGTCTGGACCCCCGGAAGCTCCGCGCACCGCGCGTGCCGGGGACTGGCCGTCAGGGACGCTGTCGCCGAGAATTCCCCTCTGGTGACGAAGGAAGTGCAAGTCCTGAGCCGGCCTGCGCCGGGAAGCCCCGGGTGACTCAGCCACGGCAGGCCGAGAAGTGAGGGGCACGGGGCTGCCCGCCGGAGGCCCCACCCGCACGGGCGGCCGCTCAGGGAGCCACACGGTGACTTCAGCTGAGAGCACCACGCCTCTCCCTGCACTCTCCTCTGGGCTTGAGACACAGCCCCGCTCGCTCTCCACGGGAGACGGGGTGGGGTCCTTGGCCAAGTCTCTCCCTGAAGGGCTCGTCAGTGAAGCTGCCCGCCTGCCCCGGCCCTTGTACACGCTCACCCGACTGCCCGCGAAGGGCCTGACCAGGAGCCTTGTGCTGGGCACAGGGGTGACACGCAGCCTCAGCCCGGCCCACCAACAGCCTGCCCCACACGTGTCCCCACAACCCGCCAGCAGGAAGACGCCGTGGCCAGGCCCTAGCCACACGGTCTCGGCTCTCCCTGCTCAGCAGGCCCCCGACTGCTGGGTGAGCAGAGTACCCTCTCAGCACCTGGGAGCAGGGTCAGCCTCAGGCTGGGGGGGCAGCCGGCTCCCCTAGTGCATGCTGGGAGCAGGGTCAGCCTCAGGCTGGGGGGGCAGCTGGCTCCCCTAGTGCATGCTGGGAGCAGGGTCAGCCTCAGGCTGGGGGGGCACCCGGCTCCCCTAGTGCATGCTGGGAGCAGGGTCAGCCTCAGGATGGAGGGGCAGCCAGCTCCCCTATTGCATGCTGGGAGCAGGGTCAGCCTCAGGCTGGGGGGGCAGCCGGCTCCCCTACTGCATGCTGGAAGCAGGGTCAGCCTCAGGCTGGGGGCCACCCGGCTCCCCTAGTGCATGCTGGGAGCAGGGTCAGCCTCAGGCTGGGGGCTACCCTGCTTCCTACTGCATGCTGGGAGCAGGGTCAGCCTCAGGCTGGGGGGGCAGCCGGCTCCCCTACTGCATGCTGGAAGCAGGGTCAGCCTCAGGCTGGGGGCCACCCGGCTCCCCTAGTGCATGCTGGGAGCAGGGTCAGCCTCAGGCTGGGGGCTACCCTGCTTCCTACTGCATGCTGGGAGCAGGGTCAGCCTCAGGCTGGGGGGGCAGCCGGCTCCCCTAGTGCATGCTGGGAGCAGGGTCAGCCTCAGGCTGGGGGGGCAGCCGGCTCCCCTAGTGCATGCTGGGAGCAGGGTCAGCCTCAGGCTGGGGGGGCAGCCGGCTCCCCTAGTGCATGCTGGGAGCAGGGTCAGCCTCAGGCTGGGGGGCCATGAGGAGGACCACCTGGCTGCCCTAGACCATGCTGGGAGCAGGGTCAGCTACAGCTGTGGGGCCATGAGGACCACCCGGCTCCCCTAGTGCATGCTGCCCGTCCCACCATCGTGAGCTCTCCCCAGCAGCTGACTTTGCTTACTGTGGACATCCGTGGTCCTGGGTGCCTCCCACACAGGCTACTGCTGAGGGGACGCGATGGGGGCATCTCCCACCGTCCCCGGTCCCCACCTGCTCTGGGACCTACCTCGCCAGGACTCTGCTCCTGCACATGCCCCACGTCCCCCTGGGCACGCTGCTGTGCAGCCAGACGCTTGGCCAGGTGCTGGCACATGTGGGCAGTGGCAGCCAGGGTCCTCCGCAGCCGCTGGGCCTCGTCGGCCAGGGAGCGGCACAGCACGTCCCTGGCCGCCTGGGCGCGCTCCTTCTCAGCCACGCTTCTCCGCAGCAGCACGACCTCCTGCTCGTGCGCCGGCCGGCTCAGCCGCTCTATCTCCCTCTGCTTTTCCTCCAGTTGCTCGGTCAGTCGCTCGACCTCCTACGCGGGAGATTAAAAGCACAGCCGAGGGCGGACGTTAGGCGCAGCGGTGAACACACCTCCATCCCGGGCGGGCTACCTGGCTTCGGTTCCTGGCTCCTGATTTCAGCTGCTGCTAACGCAGACCCTGGGAGGCAGTGCTGGCGGCTCAAGTAACGGGGTCCCAGGCCCCCACAGGGGAGACCCAGATCCTGTTTCCAGCTACCTCGGAAGTTCTTCCTGCCTCTTAAACACACAAGCAGTGGCGAGGGGCGCAGCTGCCGGATCAGAGCATGGGTTCAAGTGCCCCTACTCTGCTGCTGGCCAGCTCCCTGCTAGTGCGCCTGGGTCAAGGTGGTGGACGGCCCAGGTCCTCGAGCCCCTGCCACCCACGAGGAGCCCCAAGTGGAGAGTCAACCAGCAGGTGGAAGATCTGTTTCTTTTTATCTGTCTATATACCTTTTAAATAAAAATGAAATAATAAGTAAATAAATAAAAATGAAAAAAGTTTAATCTCTAAACTGAAAATTCTCTAATACCCAGACTTCAATGCGTGCTTTCCTGTTCCTTTTAAAAAAAAGATTGATTTTTTATTTGAAAAGCAGAGTTAGAGAGAGGCAGAGAGAAAGAGAGAGAGAGACAGGTCTTTCATCTACTGGTTCACTCCCCACATGGCTACAATGGCCAGAGCTGTGCCAATCTGAAGCCAGGAGCCAGGAGCTTCTCCCAGGTCTCTCACACGAGTACAGAGACCCTAGGACCTGGGCCATCTTCTGCTCTCCCAGGCCATAGCAGAGAGCTGGATCCGAAGTGGAGCAGCCGGGACTCAAACCAGCGCCCATATGGGATGCCGGCCTTGCAGGTGCCTGCTTTACCCACTATGCCACGGCGCCGGCCCCATGCTTTCCCGTTTTCAAAGCACCCCAACGTGAACAGCGCATGGAGGGGTGAAGCAGGCCCATGCTACAGACGAAGAAGCACTTCACACGTCACGAGTGGACGGAGCCTTCCCCAGAGGGACAGCTCCAGCCGTGGGTGCTCTTTCACTGCCCACGCCAGGGACCGGGGCCTTTTCAGCACAATGGAACAAGAGACTGGCCACGTTACTAAGGCAACCCTGGCGCCAGTTCAAGTCCCGGCTGCGCCACTTCCCATCCCGCTCTCTGCTGTGGCCTGGGAGGGCAGCGCAAGACGGGCCAAGTCCTAGGGCCTCTGCACTCCTGTGGGAGACCCGGAAGAAGCTCTGGCTCCTGGTTTCAGATTGGCTTAGCTCCCACCATTTCGGACATTCGGGGAGTGAACCAGCGGATAGAAGACCTCTCTCTCTCTCTCTCCCTGTCTGTCTGTAACTCTACCTCTCAAATAAATAAATAAATAAATAAATCTTTAAAAAAATTATTTCTAAAAAATAAAAAAAAACTAAGGCAAGTCTGGATCATGATTCTCTCAATTGCTTTTTGTTTGATTGATTGATATTTATTTGAAAGGTAAGATGGCAGGGAGAAAGGGAGAGGCAGAGAGAAAGGGGAAGATCTTCCACGTTTGCGACAGGTGGGGCTGGGCCAAGCTGAGGCCAGGAGACCGGACCTCTACGCTGGGCCCCTGCAGGGGTGGCAGGGACCCAGGCACGTGGGCCACGACCTGCTGGCTCCCAGGCACACGAGGGCGCACGGAGTAGCTGGGACAGGGACCAGGAACACTGACACGGGATGCAGGCGTCTCTGCCGCCTCACTGGCTGCGCCACAGCACCTGCCCCTAACGCGTTTCTAAGTCAGACAACACGCCCGCTGTCCCAACACCCAAACAGCAGCAAACAGAGTGAAAAACTCTATCCCCTTCTCCTCCTCAGTCCCCAGAGACAGCGGCTGTGTCTGGGCACCCGCCGCCCAGCATCGCACAGCGTCCATGACACACGCGTGTCTCTGCACAAACGGACCCTGTGACACAGCTCAGAGAACAGTGCCTTGTTCTTCAAAGCACAGCCTGAGTGTGATAAACCCCAGAGCTGGGGGCACAGCCCGGCGGCGACGCTGTGCAGAACACCCAGAAGTCACAGCACTGGGGCTGTCTGGGAGGCCGATGGCCGGTGAGACCCAAGGCCAGGGTCCAGGCCCGGTCCCCCCGCCCCCAGCGCCCTTCCACCCAAACCCCACGGCCCCTGAGCATCTGCTCAGCATGAGCTAATCAGACGCCACGGAGAATATTCTGGAGTTCTCCGGCTCAGGGCACTTCCAGGAGTCCTCTCCCTCCCACTTTCTTACTTTGCTCTACAGCCAAACAGAAAATCTCCAGTTATGATGATGGCGCAGAACTGGGACTGGTGACACCAGATGTGACCAAGTGAGAGCCGAGGCTGTGAACTGGACTTCGCCCGAAGGCGTCCCACACCCGCGTCCCCCATTCCACCAGTTTGCAAAGGGCAGCAAGCACAGGGCGGCCCCTCCGGCCAGGTGAGACCGGCTCTTATCACTGGGGCCAGCGGGCTAAGCCTCCACCATCGCAAACAGGCGTCGGCTCGAGTCCCGGCTGCTCCTCTTCCCACCCAGCTCTCTGCTGTGGCCTGGGAAAGCAGTGGAAGACGGCCCAACTCCTTGGGCCCCTGCACCCACGTGGGAGACCCGGAAGCAGCTCCTGGCTCCTGGCCTCAGATCAGCCCAGCTCCAGCCACTGCGGCCCTTTGGGGAGTGAACCAGCGGATGGAAGACCTCGCTCTCTGCCTTTACCTCTCTCTGTCTATAACTCTACCTCTCAAATAAATAAATAAGTAGATAGGATCTTTAAAGCAAGAGAGAGAGAGATCATTACCTCATGACTCTGCCTCATGACCCAGACACGCACCCCTGGCGGAGACCAGGCCGCTCTGAAAGCCGGGTGGGCGCCGGCACCTGCTGGCAGGCTGGTCCTGCGGGGCTGGGAGGCCAGAGGGCCCTGGTGGCCTTCGTTCCTCCCAAAGGGGCCGAGAGCACCACAGGCCCGGCGCTGCCACGCGCACGAGGGACCCGCGGTGAAGACACCCAGACGAGAACCAACTGTGCCCTCCCTGACGGAGAACACTACGAACAGAGAGAGAACCCCGAGCCCAGCGTCAGCGCTCACCTGCGTGGAACCCAAAACCTGGCACAGCCTGTGTCTCAGCCCTGAACTGTTTTCTTTGAAAATTAACCTGTATAAAAGTGTTAATTTGCCAGGCAGTGAGACCGAGGCAAGGGAGTGTGCTCCTACCAGCTGGCTTGCACCTCAAATGCCCCCAACAACGAGGGCTGGGTGTGACAGGAAGCCGTGCAGACCCCCCACATGGGGGCAGGCCCCTCCGGCTGCACAGTCACCGCTGCCTCCCAGGGGCTGAATCAGCAGAAAATCAGCCAGGAGCCAGAACCAGGTATCTAACGTGGGACCACACGCATCCTAACCATAGGTGAAACGGCCACCCCAAAGCTTAACCATTTTTAAGGTAGCATAAGGTAACGGGGGGCCTTGGCACAGGTACTCCGTGGAAGTGTAGCAGGAACCTCCCCAACAGCTTTTTTTTTTTTTAATATAAAGCTTTACTTGTTTTACTTGAAAGTGAGAGTTGAGAGAGGGAGAGGCAGAGAGAGAGAGAGAGAGGGATCACTCCTCCATTCATTCCATCGCTGGCCCCTTTCCCAAATAGCTGCAATGGCCAGGGCCGCACCAGGCCGAAGCCAGGAGCCAGGAGATTCATCTGGGTCCCCCAAGTACCCGGGCCATCTTCCACTGCTTTCCCAGGTGCATTAGCAGAGAGCTGGATTCCAAGTGGAGCAGCCGGGACTAGAACCGGAGCCCACGTGGGATGCCGGCACTGCAGGCGGCAGCTTCACCTGCTATGCCACAGTGCCGGTGCCTCACAGACCCCTGGCCAGCCAAGGCCACGGCCCACTGCAGCCTACCCACAGCCACAGCCCAGCCTCCAGCGCCTACCACAGGCCTGGCGGCTCCTGTGGCTGGTGGAAGGCTGAGGCGCCAGCGCGGCGGCCGCTGCTGTCACTCTGGCGAGCTGGACTGTTATCCTCGACAGGGGCTCAGGCGCGCAAGCAGAGCCGACACAGAGAGAGACTGTCCCGGGAGCACGCTTCTATTACGTTTTAGCGTCATCCAAATCAAAAGCCGTGACTCCCTGCAGCACGACAGGGAAACGTCGCTGTGCCTGCCTCTGTCTGAGACAAGTTTACTCAGGCCCATTGATACAGAAAGCAGAAATCCCAACTCGACGTGCTCATAGCCAGGAGTCCTGTGAGTGACAGCGACGGTCCGTCTCCCACGGCACCACAAACGGGCCGCACGGCCAAGCTCTGATAGCCGCAGCGGCTGCAGCGGCAGGGACGGCTCACGGTGTCTGCGCCCTCGCTGTGCACCAACCGCGGAAGCCCCACACCCTGAGACAGCATCTGTCACACACACACCCCCGTCTACAGCCGGGCACGCTGCGGCTCACAGGGTCAACGGTCTGGTCTCACGTCACATGCTCATTTACAACCAAGGGCAGCGCTCGCAGGTCCCGGGTGGACGTGAGTCACGCAGACACAGTCCAGCCCCGTTGTCCTCGCCACGCGGCCTCTCGAGGACGCCCAGCCCCAGGCTGCAGCAGCTCCCGGCTGTTCCCCCGCCAGGAGCCAAAGGCATCGCGAGAGAAGCAGCACACGGGAAGCCCAGGGCAGGCCGGGCGGCTGAACCCGACCACAGCACTGGCAGTCAGGGTCTTCCCCTCTAGAGCCCGGCGCTGGGCACAGCAGCTCGAGCCCCCACGGGCAAGGCCAGCACCTCACGTGGGCACCGGCTCAAGTCCCCGCTGCTCCACCTCTGGTCCAGCTCCCTGCTAACGCACCTGGGAAAGCCGAGGATGGCAAAAGTGCTTGGGCCCCTGCACCCACGTGGGAGACCCGGATGGAGTCACCCTCCCGGCTTCAGCCTGGCCCCGCCCTGCGTGCTGTGGCCATTCGGGGAAGGAACAGTGGAAGAAGATCCTTCTCCCTCTCTGCCTTTTGCTCTGTATCCCTTTCAAATAAGTAAATTATTTTATTTTATTATTTTTTAAATATTTATTTATTTACTTGAAAGTCAGAGTCACAGAGAGGCAGAGAGAGAGAGAGAGAGAGGTCTTCTATCCACTGGTTCACTCTCGAAATGGCCACAGTGGCTGCAGCTGGGCCAGGCTGAAGCCAGGAGCCAGGAGCTTCTTCTGGGTCTCCCACATGGGTGCAGGGGCCAAGGACTTGGGCCATCTTCCACTGCTTTCCCAGGCCACAGCAGAGAGCTGGATGGGAAGTGGAGCAGCCGGGTCTCGCATCAGCACCCATATGGGATGCCGGCACTGCCGGCAGTGGCTTTACCTGCTACGCCACAATGCCGGCCCTCAAATAAATAAATCCTGACCAAAAATATTCTTCCTCTCCCTGGATAACTGTATGGGAGAAGACAAACAGGACACACACGAACACGCCTGTCACAAAGGACACACACTTCCTGTGCTCAAGGAGCGTGGCAGGACAGGGAAGGAAGGCCGGGAGAGAAAGGGGGCCGGGGTGCCAGCACCAGGCAGGGCCCGTGAGGCCAGACCCGGGGTGGTAACAGGAGGGGCTGAGCAGGAGTCGGCCACACAGTGAGTCAGCTCCAGTCCTCCAGAAAGTCGCACACGGGGCGGCCTGCAAAGTGACAGGTACAGTGAGGTCTCTGAGTGCCACCACAGCTCTCGGCCCTGCCACGCGCTGGCCACGGCCCGCCCACAGATGCACTGGGCAGTTCCTCCGCACTTCCGAAGGTCATCGCCTCACGGCAGCCCTCAGCCCCCACCAGGCCAGGGGCCAGCTTGTTACGGGCAGCCCACCGCCGCCTCAGCCAGCCCAGGCCTCTGAGTAATGAACATCCCCGTTCTCGCCTGGCGCCCGCGATTCACCCCAGACGGGTGCTGGAGTCAGCCACACGTGTGCTGGCACAGGACAGCTCCGCAGACTGACCCCACAGGGGCTGGAGCCCGTGCCTGCGGCCACACATCCCGTCCAGCTCCCTCCAGCCACCTGGGGAAGCAGGACGGCCCAAGAGCCTGGGCCACTGCCACCCACGGGGGAGACTGCGGAAGAATTCCCAGCTCCTGGCTCCAGCCCGGCCACGGAGGCCATCTGGGGAGTGAACCGGCAGACGGAGGATCTCTCTGTATCTTCCTGTCGCTCTCTCTTTCAAAATAAATGTTTAAAACAAAGCCCGAAATGGAGGTGGAGGAGCAGTGACTCTTGGACCGCGGTCTGGGGCCACCACGCAGCTGTGATGAGCTTCTGGTTGGTGGCTGCGGGTTCACAAGGCACTGGGGACTAAGGGAGCCGAGGACCAAGGCCGCCAGGCTCCGAGAGTGACCGGGCCCTGGCTGCGTGGGGCTCCCCTGCCCGGCCTGCCCTGCCAACAGGCTCCCCTCAGAGCCCTGGCTCCTGGCGTCGCTGTGCCAACCAGGTGGGCTCGGGGAGTTACGGTCCACTTTCCAGGAAGAGGGAGAGACCAGGGTGAGGCATCTGCGGCTGACGGCACTGCAGACACAGTCCAACCAGCACTGAGTAGAACCCTGCAGAAGGCGCGGACTGGACCAGGCTGGCGTGCCCCTGGGCAGCGGGACAGGAGGGCGCACGCCCAGGTCCACGCCGGCCACCCCTGCGTTGCGGGGCTCCGGGGGCCATGAGCCCATTTTTCTCAAGTGTTCAAAATTATCTTATAATCAGGAGAACAGGGCACGTTCCTTGTTCTCTCTCAGGTCCGGCTGTGGGGCCACGGCTGGGCACCAAAGCTGCCGTCTGCACCCTAGTCCTGCCCAGGCCCAGCCACCCGGGATGGATAAACGCCGCGGGCCAAGCGTTTGGGGTGCGAGCAGCCGGCACGGCGAGTGCTGTCACCTGGTTTTGGCTCTGGCCCCGCCGTCTCTCCTAAACACTCAGGCTGGGGAGCAGAAAGCTGGGGTGACGCCTGCGTCACAGCTCCAGCCCGGGACACCCCACCCTCGAGGCCAGGAAGCCCCAAATACGCCTCAGAGGGACCCCCGCCCCACCCACGGGGGACGCCTCACCGCCCCAGGGGCCCCACTCCCCTTGCAGCCCAGGGTCCTCACCTGCAACCCACAGGCCCCCCCCAGCCCGGCGCCCCCCAACCCCCTCACAGCCCACGGGCCCTCCCCCAGCCCGGCCCCCTCACAGCCCACAGGCCCCCCTCAGCCCGGCGCCCCCCAACCCCCTCACAGCCCACAGGCCCCCCTCAGCCCGGCGCCCCCCAACCCCCTCACAGCCCACGGCACCCCCCAGCCCGGTGCCCCCCAACCCCCTCACAGCCCACGGGCCCCCCACAGCCCGGCGCCCCCCAACCCCCCTCACAGCCCACGGGCCCCCCCAGCCGGCCCCCTCACAGCCCGGCGCCCCCTCCCAGCCCAGGGCCCCCCCAGCCGGCCCCCTCCCCGCCCGGGCCCCCCCCAGCCGGCCCCCTCCCGCCCCCTCCCAGCCCAGGGCTACCCCCAGCCGGCCCCCTCCCGCCCCCTCACAGCCCAGGGCCCCGCCCAGCCCGGCCCCCTCCGGCCCCCTCCCCGCAGCACGCACGCGCCCCGCCGCCGCCCCGCACCTGGCGCAGTCGGGCCTCGGCGGCGCCGCTCTGCTGCCGCTGGAGCTGCTCCCGGGAGCGCGCCAGCTGCTCCAGCAGCGCGTCCACGAGCGACGGCGCCGCATCTCCCTCGAGCGCGGCCAGGCGGGCGCGGAGGCGTGCGACGAGGGCCTCGCGGGCGGCCAGCTGGGCCTGAAGCAGCCGCAGCTGCTGGCCGGCCTCGTGGTACAGGCCGCAGAGCGTGGCCGCGGCGCCCTCGTCCCTCTCCCGGCCTCGCGAACCCTCGTCCCCGGACGACATGGTTGCGGGCCTGCCGGGTGGGCGCACGGCCGCCTGCAACTTCCGCGCCCGGCCCGGCGGGACTTCGGCCTTCCGGGAATTTCCCCGGCCGGGCCAAGCCCGACCCGGCCAGGCCCGCCCCCGCCGGTGCTGGCTCCTCCCCCAGCCGACGGCCCGCCCCCGCCGGTGCCTGGCTCCTCCCCCAGCCGACGGCCCGTCCCCGCCGGTGCCTGGCTCCTCCCCCAGCCGACGGCCCGCCCCCGCCGGTGCCTGGCTCCTCCCCCAGCCGACGGCCCGCCCCCGCCGGTGCCTGGCTCCTCCCCCAGCCCACGGCCCGCCCCCGCCGGTGCCTGGCTCCTCCCCCAGCCCACGGCCCGCCCCCGCCGGTGCCTGGCTCCTCCCCCAGCCCACGGCCCGCCCCCGCCGGTGCCTGGCTCCTCCCCCAGCCCACGGCCCGCCCCCGCCGGTGCCTGGCTCCTCCCCCAGCCCACGGCCCGCCCCCGCCGGTACTGGCTCCTCCCCCAGCCGACGGCCCGCCCCCGCCGGTACCTAGCTCCGTCCACCGACGAGAGCCCGCCCCCGCCGGTACCTGGCTCCTCCCCCAGCCGACGGCCCGCCCCCGCCGGTACCTGGCTCCTCCCCCAGCCAGGCCCGCCCCCGCCGGTGCCTGGCTCCTCCCCCAGCCAGGCCCGCCCCCGCCGGTGCCTGGCTCCTCCCCCAGCCAGGCCCGCCCCCGCCGGTGCCTGGCTCCTCCCCCAGCCAGGCCCGCCCCCGCCGGTACCTGGCTCCTCCCCCAGCCGACGGCCCGCCCCCACCGGTACCTGGTTCCTCCCCCAGCCGACGGCCCGCCCCCGCCGGTACCTGGCTCCTCCCCCAGCCGACGGCCCGCCCCCGCCGGTGCCTGGCTCCTCCCCCAGCCCACGGCCCGCCCCCGCCGGTACCTGGCTCCTCCCCCAGCCGACGGCCCGCCCCCGCCGGTACCTGGCTCCGTGCACCGACGAGAGCCCGCCCCCGCCGGTACCTGGCTCCTCCCCCAGCCCGCCCCCGCCGGCAGCCGGCTCCGCCTACAGAGGAAAGACCGCCCACGCCGGCAGCTGGTTCCGCCCCTGGCCTCGAGCCCGCCTGTCCGATACCCGGCTCCGCCCACAAACTAGTGCCCGCCCCTCCGACACCAGGTTCCGCCCCCGGCCCAGAGCCCGCCCCACCGACACCCGGCTCCGCCCCCAGCCCAGAGCCCGCCCCACCGACACCCGGCTCCGCCCCCGGCCCAGAGCCCGCCCCATCGACGCCCGGCTCCGCCCCCAGCCCAGAGCCCGCCCCTCCGACACTAGGCTCCGCCCCCGGCCCAGAGCCCGCCCCACCGACGCCCGGCTCCGCCCGCCGCCGGGAGCCCTCGCGCCCAGCGATCCCTGCCCCTGTTGAGGGCTCGGCCCTGCGGTGTGGACCACCCGGCACTGCGGTGTGGACCACCGGCCCTGCGGAGCCACCTAGAGCCGAGTTCGGCAGCGTCTGCTGAGCTGCGGATGGGAAGCGGAGGGCGCGCCGGAGACCACCCCCGGGTGTGGGTCTGCGTCAGCCGCCCTGGGAGCTCCAGGGAAGGGCGAGGACGCTCCAAGGGCTGCGCTCCCGGCGCCGACCACGTGCCCGCCTTGGGTCACCCGCGGACACTGAGCGGGGGCTGCCACACCCGTCCGGGGCGCAGGCGCGGCGCTGGCTGGTGGGACCGGGCCCCTTGGTGGGTGTGACAGCCTTGGTGCGGGGGCGGCAGGGTCCCCCGCTTCCTGGACACAAGGCCGCCGCCCCTGCTGATGCCAGACGCACGCGGGGGCCTTCCGAGGCTCGCGGTCAGGATCTGCCCCGCCCCGTCCGTCCGCCCTAGGCCGCGTGCTGTCTTCTCCGGGAGCGGAATCCCAGGGTCGGTAAAGGCAGCCAGCCCCCCCCCCCCCCCCCCCCCCGCTGCTGCGGGCAGCTGAGTCAGCACCCTCTCCAGCTGCTGGGTGCTGTGGGACTCACCCAGCAAACGCAGGTCCGCATGGTGCACTCTGATTGGCTGGGGCAGGTGTGGGGGGAGTTAAATGGAGCTGGGCTCAGAGCTGCTAGGGGCAGGGCCGTCCTCAGGGCAGGCGCTAAATGGGGGCCTGGGGCAGGTCACTCAAGCCAGCCTCCCTGAGCCCGGTGCCTCAGTCGTGGACTGGGCACCGCGTGGTCCAGCCCTCCAGCACCGCTGGGGCGGACGGGTTTTGGGGATCAGAATTTGGCTTCTGGGGTGGCCGGCCTCCGGCAAGGCTGCCTGCCTTCTGGCCCCTAGACTCTCCGTGGAGTCCCTGCGGCGCACCGGACGAGGCCGACCTTCCTCTCCAAGACGTCGAACTACAGACGTGCTGAGGCGTGGCCCCAGCAACCAGGTCACGAGAGACACGGGGCTGTTGTCTTGGCCTCTCTGGGACAGCTTGCTCCCAACATCAGAAGATAACAACTAAAATATCACTCTGCTCCCACAAAACCGGAAACACTGACGTTTCCGCACAAACAGGATGGCCATTCACACTAATCAGGGAAGACCCGCGGCTGTTAAAGTCAGCAACAGGAGGATTTGCACAAGGGCTGACCCTCTGAGTGTGGCCACAGGCTGGGCTGGAGAGGGAGGAGGGGTCTGACCAGGAGGGCGGCAGACGGCCAGAGGTTGGGCTGCCTTCAGGGGCCAGTGAGGGACTGGGGTTTCCAGCAGGTGACGAGGTGGGAGGCGGGGTGGGAGGCAGGTGGAGAGGCCACTTCCTACACTGATGGGGCAGTGTCCATCTGCCTTGCCCCAAGGCTCCTCCCCGAGCCTTTTCCGCAGGTCCTCTGAGGGCCTGCCCCTTTCTGTGGCCTCCCTCCCCTCCTGTCTGGACTTTGTGATCCTCACAGGGCCAGGTTCACAGGTGGACACACACTCATTCTTCCCCAGGACCTGCGGTCACTCCTGGACACACAGCCTAGCAGAAGGGGGAAGGGGCCTCTCCACGAGTGTCCACCAGGGGGCGATGCGGCCTGCCCTCAGCAGGCTGCCAGTAGGTGCCAACAGCACCCTCTCCCGTTGAGTGGATCAGGGTTCCCTTTCAACTGAGCAAACAAGCAGAGTGCACTCCCAAGACAAGGGGAGCGTGCTCCAGGAAGGAGGTCGGCGGAGGCTTCTCCTTCGTCTGTCTTGAAACAAGGGTGCAGTTTATTTTATTTTTAAGATTTTATTTATTTATTTGAGAGGTAGAGTTATAGACAGTGAGAGAGAGAGACAGAGAGAGAGGTCTTCTATCCGCAGATGCACCTCTCACATTTGCCCCAATGGCCAGAGCTGTGCCGATCCGAAGCCAGGAGCCACGAGCTTCTTCCAGGTCTCCCACGTGGGTGCAGGGGCCCAAACATCTGGGCCCTCTTCCACTGCTTTCCCAGGCTATAGCAGAGAGCCGATCAGAAGAGGAGCAGCCGGGACTTGAACTGGCACCCCTATGGGAGGCTGGCACTGCAGGTGGAGGATTAGCCTACTGTGCCACAGCGCCAGCCCCAAGGGTGCAGTGTGTTCATGGTGGGGCACAGAGTCCCGGGACTGAGGTGGGAGTGTCCTCAGAGGGTCTTTCCCGAGCTGTCATGTGATGTTGGTGCTGCAATGCTAATGATATGTAACAAGCCCAAGGTAATTAAGGGAGCCAGACGGCTGGCGATATGGCTGCCTTTTCTGGAAGATGCCAACTGGGTGGTTCTGAGTTGTGCAGCTCTGCAAAGCTCTGTTCGGGTCCAGCTCTCTGCCGGTGCCCACATCTCCACACCTGGGTGCCACTGAACCCTGGCACCCCCAACGCCTCCGCCTGGCTGTTCCTGGGCTGTGGCATCGGCCAGCAGCCCAGAGCGCCTTGTACCATCACGCAACAACCTTGTTTGTCTCAGAGGTAGAGACACCCATCTGTCCCCAGCACGCCCCTGCAAGCGCTCTGAGCCCCAGGCCTCTGGGTGGCGAGTGCAGCCCCACCCAGTGACTTCCCCAGCCCCAGGGAGGTGAGCAAACCTCCCCCCCTCTCTCCCCGTAAGACACGATGGGGAGCCCACAGCTCTGGCTCTGCAGGAGGGGGCCTGGCCAGGGTGCGTTCCCTGGATGAGCTCGGTGCTAACTCGTCTCCATGGCGATCGCCCCATCCTCCCAGTGGCAGGTCCCCTCTCTGCTGCCACAGAACCCACACCGGCCTTCCTGAGTGCTCTCTCCCTAAGGGCAGGCGGCCACCACGCCTGAGTCTGACTTGTAGGCAGGGCGACTGTTCCACTGGCGTGTGCACGCAGGAGTACGGCAGAGCTCACTGGCAGGCCAGGATGGACGCCTGAGGATGCAGGGAGGCCGCAGGCCTCAGAACACGGACCAGGCTTGACCCTGCAGCCATGTCTGCGTCCATGCAAGGAACTCAGGGGAGATCCGGCCTTCCGGGCTGCTGTGCAGATCTGTTCATCAAGGAGCCGGAATGGAGTGTGGCGGCCACGCTGTGGCACAGTGGGCTGGGTCACCGCCTGCGATGCCGGCGTCCCACATGGGAGTAGCACTTCACGCCTCAGCCGCTCTGCTTCCAATCCAGCTCTCTGCTGATGCACCTGGGAAGGCAGTGGAGGGTGGCCCAAGCGCTGGGGCCTGCCACTCATGTGGGAGATCCGGATGGAGCTCCAGGCTCCTGACTAGGGCTTGGCCCAGCTGTAGTTGTTGGGGCCATCTGGGGAGTTAACTGGTGCATGGAAAACCTTGCTCCCACTCTCCCCATTGTCCCCTCTCTCTGTGACTCTGCTTTTCAAATAAAGAGATAGATCTTTAAACAGTACATTTAAAATGACTAAAATGGTCGATAAAAAAAGACCGTGCTTGTGACACCCACTTCAGAGTGCCTGGTTCAAGCCTGGCTCAGCTTCCAGTTGCAGCTTCCTGCTAATGCACACCTGGGAGGCAGCAGGTGAGGGCTCACGTGCCTGGGACCCTGCAGCCCGTGTGGGAGACCCAGAGCTCCAGACTCCAGCCCCTGACCTGCCCAGTGCCGACTGTTACAGGTATTCGGAGAGTGAACCAGCAGGTGGAAGATCTCTGTCTCTGATTATCAAGTGAAGTGAAAAATAAGTGAATACAAGTATTTTCCAGAAGCAAAGAGAAAA